CTACAAAATATTTTCTAGGCAATTATTTTCCCTGGAAATCATTTTCTTTCCACCCATTTTTCACCCTTACAATCAAACGCACCCTAAGTGTAAAAATAAATGACATGTATTGGTAAAAATGAAACATTGATGTTTGAGCGACACTACAATCGGCCTAGCATTGATGCTTTCAACTTATGAGTTGAATAGCAGCGACAGGTGAAAGAAAAAAAAAATTACATTGCACTTCGTGGCTATGAATTAGACACTTAATTTTGGAATATGGATACCTAATGTGATTGATTTGCCTAGTAGAAGCTTGAATATTGGGACATAAATATATGGAGAATTATCGCGTATTTAGATAGTTACTTTAATCGGGAAACCCAATCAAATTTGAGAGGAAATAAATGAGTGCCGTAAAATTCGTGCCTATAAACTTCATAAAATTTTGCGAATTGATCTAACTCTTTTCTTATTGTTGTATACATGTTAGGGATATCTGCAACTGCGGTCCTAAGCTTTTTATTTTTTGCATACATTATCCAAACATTCCAGTTGTGTTACTTGGAGTTCCAGATCTTTCATTTTATTCGCAGCAAGGACGGATGGATGGATTACATCAATTTGATCGTTAATTGATCAGAAAATTGACTTTAACCAAATATAAAAATTGCAAAATAATAACTTTACAATTTTAACAGAAAATAATTTACAAAACTCAATAAAAAATAAAATAAATAAGAGTGTGTTTGATTGTGAGCGTGGAATTTGTATAGAAAGAATATAAATTTTAGGCAATTCAATTGCCTATTGTATAGAAATTATTAATTAGTTGTGTTTGATTGATTTAATTTTCAACCTCAAAATTATCAGTGGATGGAAAGAAATAGTGAATTACCTGGGAAATAAAAATTACCCCTCCCTAAAAAAAATATTTTTCTTGTTTTTAAAAAAAATATGGTCACGTAACCAAAAGTAGAAAAATATTTTTCGTGAAAAAAATTATCAATCAAACAGCACAAAAGTAAGAAAATATACGGAAAAAACTCATTTTCCATAGAAATTTTTGGCAATCAAACTTATCATAACTGGAATTGTTCTTCTTTTCACCCACACAACCCCCTATTGCCGTTGTCGTCGACTGTCACATGTACCACCTATTGTGAGCTTATATGGGGTCTTCACCACTTCGATTATAAGCATATCGCCTTCATAGTGGCAACTGGCTTAAAGGGGATTTGAGCCACCACTTATGGTTTTGTTAATGGCGAAAAGCCTGCGATATGAATTTGTTGCTTTATTAAAATTTGTTGATTCATGCTTTGAATTTGTTGGTGCATTTTGGTGTCAGCTATAAGTATTTGAGAAAATGTTGCAATCAGAAATATCAGTGCCTGTTTCGCTTCCCGAATTTTCAGTACATAATTCCAAGCTTGATTTTTCACTTAATGATTTTTTCCCAAGGGATAAATACATGGGGTATCATTTTCTTTTGTTGGTTTTGGATGCTTGGAAGAGAGATTTCAAAGAGAACTCCAAGATATTATTTAACTTTCGGGTTTTGATCATTGCCTAACATGATGAATTCCATGGTGGTTGATGGCGGAGCTCCCACTTTCAACTCAGGCTTGCTCTCTTTGTATGTTGAAACTGCTTGAAACATGATACGAGATTCTGACACACTATAGTTGATATACTAAAGAGGAAAGATTAATAAAAATTGTAAATCCCACGGCAAATATAATGAATTTGTGAAAGAATAGTAACAAGAACAAGATTTTATTGAATTTTCAGATAGATAAAGGGAAGAAAGAGACGAAGAGAGGAAATTGAACGATGGATAAGAGAAGGGTTGGGTGCCAATTTGTAGTGCCCAAAAGTGCCATCTATAAATCTTGTCCACATGGTAGAGTGGTTGGAGGCTCCTTTCGTACCACTTAAATTGTGGCTTTGGCCGCGACGACAAGTGGCTGTAGTGATGGGTTGATTTGGTTTGGTTAGAGGGTTGGGGTGAGGGTGAGTGAAATGAACAGTTCCTTTTTTTTATTATTTAATTTTTAAAATCAATTTATGTTCAAATTGTAAGGTTACCCTTTTATCCTTTTTATATTAGATCAAAGTCAGTTTTTTTGTCAACTAATGATCAAATGGATGAAATCCATCTATCTATTCTTCAACTACAACAAAGTAGGGCTGCACAAAAAAACTACAAAACCGCAGATCGAACCGAAACCGTTGGTTCGGGTTCACATGAACTAGCAATTTTTTATCCCTCAAACTGAATCAAACTATTTCAAAATAATTTGATTTATGTTTTAATTTTAAAAAATCGAATCGAACCGAACTGTTTTTTTAATTTTTTTTTATTAAAAATTAATTTCATTAACATATAAATTTTACAATTTTCATTTTCAGAAAAAATACAAATTCAGCAATACGAATTACAACCAGCCTATTTAAATAATCATATAAATTAAATTAAATTCATCATTATTGACCCATAATTTTATAAGTTTACAACACATGTCCAAACTCGATATCTGAACCAAACTAAACTAAACTAAAATTATTCTCAAATCATATGAAATAAAAAAACTTGTTTTTTGAAAATCCAAATCATAATTCAACTAAACAACGACAGCAAATCACTCCGACGGCTTTAGAAGCCCTAATATAAACTCTCATTTCTCAAACATTTGACACTTGCAGCACTGTTAAACGAAATGTGATTCTCAATAAAAAATCGCCAATTGCTTTTTGCCTATTAGTCTGCTAATTTCTACCTACATCGCCTCTTTCTCTCTCGGTAAGTCTTAGATTCCAATTCAAGCCATTTTTTCATTGTTCTTTCTTTTATTTGTTGTTTTTGAACTTATTTGTTATTTGGAATAACAAAAGACAAAGCGTATTGATTGTGCGAAAATTGTTAAAGTTTCCTAACTAGTACTAGTACTTACTACTTTTTCAAAGTATTTAGAGAATGAAATTTGTCAATTCCCAATAAACTTGAACTCAATCATTTTTTATACATCTAAATATATCGTATTCGGTCCTTATTTTTCATCTCACTAGCAGGATAAAAATGGATTTTAACCAAACTATTACAACAGAATGTGACTCTAACTTTACCAATCGCATGTGATAATATGAAAGGCAAACAAAAAAAGGTAAATAAAAGGAAGAAATATATATTTGTTCTATTGACATCTTTTAGCAACCAACAATGAAAACAATTTTTTCATGGGTTTCATGGGAAAAATGAATGTAATTTAACGTTTAACGTTATTAGTTCTGTTTTAAACTTACATGTTCACTTGTTTTAAATATATTACTATGATATCGATAGGTAAGTCGCGGATTAAAATTGAACTAAACCGCAAATTATGGTTTGGTTTGGTTCGAAAAATAAAATAGTTTGATTTGGTTTGAAAAAATTTCAAACCACATAAAATGATTTGAGTTGAAAATATAGCACAAACCGCCCAAATCGAACCGCGTTCACCCTTACAACAAAGTAGAAAGTTTGAAATGTGGTGACATAAATGAAAATGTCTTAAGTAAAATCTGTAAAAAAAATTAAAATATTTGGGGATTGCAATTGCAACTATCCCTAAATGATATCATTTTGGGTAAAACCCACTTGGAGGTATTTGAAGCAAAAAAAAAAAAAAAGTGAAAATGAAAATTCTAAGCTTAATTGAAGTTGGTTCAAGGCAATCGAAGACTATCAGAATTGTATGGGATTGACGAGAAGTATTACGAGAGCAACTAAAGGAAAATGACAAATTTCGAAAGCAAAATTCAAATACATGAATCGAGTAGACTGAATTCTACACTTTTCAGAAATTGAGAAAGTTCAGTTTGGATATTATGGAGGTTCATGGACCGTCAAGACGCTTTTGAAAGTTACAGGATCAATATTGAAGAATTGGATAAAAATGAAAAAAATCGTATGAAAAAATTGAAGCACTAACCAATGTGTAAAAAGTTGATAATTACAGGGGTGTCAGCTATTTGAAAATTGCGGTCTATTCGCGATCATAAAATTTTCATGTTGTCTTAATCAAGAAGTAAACAAGTACTTTCAAAGTGTCATGTGGTGAAGGGCCCCTTTTTATTGTGTGATACAAATCAGCCATTGTGGTGCTAATATCTAGAATATGAGCTCTTTAATTTTTTTTTACCGAGTGACGATTTTGATCATGACATTAATACAGACTTGAAACTATTAACTATGATGAATGCGCTAATTATCCCAATTTTGGTTTTTCACTATCCGTGCATAAGGTCTTATAGATAGTTTGGATGAATTGAAGATTCGATTATAATATTGTAACACATGTTTGCGAGTGTTGCATCCTAAAGCATATCTACGGTACGCACACGGTAGTTAACTAATCATCCTTAAAGAGCATATTTGTTTCCCCCTTTTATAATAAAAATATATTTTGGAATAGTAGATTGATGAAAAATGTGTGATTAAAAAATAAGAAAAAAATTTGGGTGTGCATGTAATATTATTTTATTGAAAAATGTGTGGTTGAAAAGAAGAGAGGAAAATGTATTTTAAGAAAAATGAGTATCAAACAAGTCCTAAATGTCAAGAGTTTAAGCCCCTATTTGAACAATCTTTTCAAAACTCATTTTCAATCACATATTTTTTCAATAAAATAATTTTGCTCATAAATAAAAAAATTTTGTATTTTCTAACCACACATTTTAAAAAAATCGATATTATAAAACTTATTCTGAATCATACATTTTTCAAAAAACTTATTATTATAAAACTCACTTCTCCCAAAAATTGGACTCGAAGAGGGGTTAAATTTCAAGTTTATTACTTTGCCCTCGTTTGGTGGAAATTAAAATCAAAATTTTAATATATTTAGATAAAAAATGATGAAATATATTATTGAAAAATTGTGAATTTTAAAATTAATTATTGATTTTAATTGGGATTAAAATCTATCAAATATGAGCTTTATTTAAACACTACCTAAATAAATTATTACAATAACACAAAAAGGAAAAGCAGTTTGAAAAAGATCCGTTTCCAGCTCAAACCAGTTCAAAGCTGGAATGAACGCCGACCTATATCCGACCCAGGTTACACCCGCTGGTTTTACCCGCTTCTTCAATTCCCAAACAGGGGAAAACAGGCTGTAAATGAAGAATAAAGCATTCGATCAGCTCCACAAGGTTCATTCTCAATAATTTAATATACTCGCCGACTCAATTGTATCCAACTGAACCTCGAGGCGCTGACGAAAACAGCTATTTTCGTGCCCTTGCTTTTACGAGTTATTTTAATTTTATGGTTTTTATTGGTATTACACAGTTCTATTAAGTTGGGATCACGCCTCGGATTCCCAAGGCGAAAACAAGATGGGGTTGAGACAAATTTGAAAATTAGAGTTGGAATTGGGTTTTTAATTCAACTTCAGGAGAAATGAAGGCTGGAAGCGCGGCCAAGCTTATTGTCGATGCGCTGTTGCAGCGTTTCCTTCCACTTGCCAGGCGTCGAATTGAAACAGCTCAAGCACAGGTAAGATTCTGACTGGATTTTAATCTTTTTTGGGTTTTTTTTTGAAAGGTAATTATTTATTTATTTATTTTGGGGGTTTGATCAATAAGATATGCAGAGTTCGTTGGAGTGCAGATAATGAGAATTAGATTTTAGTTTTATGTAATCACAATGGGTTTGAATATATTTTGTCCTCTTCCTTATCTTGAATTTGGGCAAGGCACTCCAGGTATTTGAAATTGGAGAGTGCCAGTACAATAGATTATCAGGTGATTGACCATTCAAGATTCATAATTAGTTATACACAATAAATTGCTACTTGCGGTTGGCGTACTTTCTTTCTTTACAGTCCATACAAAGCAAGCCAGGACTAAAAGGTAACAAAACAAAGATAAAATATATTATTTCTGGTGCAGTCAAAAGGGAAAGATATGAATGATAGATCCAGAGTGAGAAAAAATATGTGGAAGATCATCTGCAGTCAAAGGGAGAAAATTGTCAGATAACGGAGTATATTTAACTTTTTAGAGAAATTTTGACGGTGGGAGATTTTAACATGTCATACTAGTATTTATCAATCGCTCTCGCGTATCATCATATGCAATGCGAATTCTTTGCATGTCAATATATGATGGGATCAGTTGGGTTTTATTCTTCCTTTGCACCCTAAATGCAGGATGGGCAATACCTTCGACCATCAGATCCGGCGTACGAGCAGGTGTTAGACTCTTTAGCTATGGTGGCACGGCATACGCCCGTACCTTTATTGGAAGCTCTATCACGGTGGAGAGAAAGGTATTTTCACTTCCCACAAAAAAATTAACTCTAGGTAGCCTGTAACGACATCATATATATTGCATATCTAGAGTGATGCATATAAGTACTACTTTATTTCGTGATATCTGCTGATTTATTTCTCGATGTACTTCCTTAAAAAGAAACCAGTGGTTTAGAAGTCTAATTGACGTGTGCTACAGAGTCCATCCTGCAATTTATATTGCTGTTTGTCTGGGCTCAAGCTGTGGCTGGCCTGATTGATGGATTTTTTCCAGCCACGATTTTTTTCTAGTTTCGTATCTGAGGTGCCACTATTCATGCTCATGGAATTTCTAGTCATTACGGCCTCTTGTAATTCTCAAATAGTGAAAAACAGTAACTTCTGAATACATTGATGGTTTGACCTTTTTAATGTAATCGTATTTGATTTTTTCAGATGATCATATATCAATATCTGTAATTCAATTGCAAAATGGGTATTGGTTATGTCGTAAGTCTCACAGTAAGCACATTGCCTTGGTGGTAGAAAACACTAAGAGCATGTTTGAGAAGTGTTTATAAACGATTTATATTATAAAAATAAATAGATAGACATAAATGGTGGATAAGTGTAGTACTTGTGCATTCCTCAAAATGTGTGGATAAAAAGTAGCTCGAGTGTGTATAAATAGTTTATAAACATGAGCCAAACGTAGGTTAAAGTATTAATACTAAGAGCATGTTTGGGAAGTGTTTATAAACGATTTAGATTATAAATGGATAGAAATAAATGGTGGATAAGTGTAGTACTTTTGCGTCCCTCAAAACGTGTGGATAAAAAGTAGCTCGAGTGTATATAAATAGTTTATAAACATGAGTCAAACGTAGGCTAAAGTATTAACATCCCTGCTTTGAGCATTGCCAAAATGATGCTTTCTGTTACTGTATTTTTAATGCTTATTTAGTATGATTGACTCAATTTAGCTAGAAGAAACAATTTTTTTAGCGAGTGTTTATTTATTTTTAAACCTCAATTTCTGCTTCTCTTTCGAAGCTAAATTATGATCTCTCATTTAAATTATATGGCTGGATGCTATGCAGTGAATCACCAAAAGGTGCAAACGATGCATCAACATTCCAGAGAAAGGTTTGACTCTCCCAATATAATGAATTAATTACACAGTTTCATATAAAATTGCAACTGTAGTTGGTTGAAATTTTATTGCCTCATTGCACGAGAACATATTGATAGCTTTATAAAAGGAAGATGGAAAAAAAGAGACTATATGAAACTCTCTCTCTCTCTCTCTCTCTCTCTCTCTCTCTCTCTCTCTCTATCTCTCTCGGGGTGAGTAAAGAAAACACAATCAAATTTAACCTAAGTGACTAAAATTAGTGGAAGAAAAAGATAGTTCACAGACTAACTGCTGAAAGCCGAGGGTAATTAGTAAATCCAGTGATCCTAAAAGTCCATTTATACTATGTTTTTGATTCAAGGTAACAAATTGTTTATGGCTTCTTATGTTCTAATTTGTCTTGTTGACTCACAATACAAATGGAAATGCTGGGTCTGCTACACAAAAAATAGGTATTACCTCGCAGAAGAGACATTTCAAACCGGAAACATGGTTTACTGTACGTGTTTAATGGTGATATTATTTATTCCAGCTTGCAGTAGAGTGTATCTTTTGCTCAGCTTGTATTCGCTTTGTGGAGTGTTGCCCACAAGAAGGACTTACAGGTCTGCTCATGCTCTAAACTCCTAACGTCCATTTGACAACCTCTTTTTTTCTTTTAGTTTTATTTTTTTGTCCTTCACCTAACACCTCATCATTTCCTCATATTTAATGTGCTTCTTTGATGGCAGAGAAACTTTGGATTGGGCTTGAAAATTTTGTCTTCGACTGGCTTATTAATGCAGACAGGTAAAATGATTAAGCTAAATTTAGAAATTGTTGCAATACTGGTTAGCCATCTTTTAGCTCCTGTCTCGATTCTGACTAAGGTGCAAGCATGTCTGTTAATTGTGGCGTGGATTCATATTTCCTGTTCTTTTGGCCCTAAACATCTTTATATTGCCAATTTGTCATGTTATGAGTACAAACTGCATCAAAAAGTTTTTTATTTTTTAAAGTTCATGTAATTACTTTAGAAAGTAAAAGTATTATACCACTGTTAATATGATCGTGCATATTGGTTGGAATTGGTGCAATGAAGAAGAATTATTATCTATATTTCATGAGGATGCTTGAAATCCCAACGGATCAAACTGGAACAAGTTGGTGTTTATTTTGCTGATGTAAGTAATGGAATTTCATTGACAATGTTTCTATACCATGTAATCTCTTTACAAAAGACCAAATTATTACCTACATATTAAATGGCATATGCCATCCAGAAACTCTATATCTTCTGTACAGACTCCAGCCCAAAAAGAATCCTCAGTTATTTAATTGTCTTGAGCATTGTCCATGAAGTTACTGCAGAGAAGAAGACCCAAACGTGTTTTTCAATTTTAGCTTGATTTCTGATACAGAGATGAGTTCAATGAGTAAGACTTGTTGTCATGCATTTACTTTTTATATAGAATGGGGTTAAATTATTTTGAAAGAAGTGCGCACTTTCAATTTTAACCGATACATTGTAGTTTAAAGCATGATTGCATTGCAAAGCGTCCTCTGTAACTGTCGTGCAAACTCATATTTTACCAATTGCAGGGTTGTTAGCCAAGTTGATTATCCTTCATTGGTAGATTTGAGGGGCCTTCTTCTGGACCTAGTTGCACAACTCCTTGGTGCCTTGTCTCGGATCAGGTAAACAGATAATGATTCACTGCCCCGCCGAATATTCATATATAACATTTCATAGCTGGGTTATATGTAATCCGCTGGTTCTAACTTTTTCGTTGATGCATGAACAAGTCACTTCTGAAATATGTCGACAATCTTCGGATTCTATCAAATCCATTAATAATTTTTTGTTTTTCGTAACTGCTTTGAGATCTACATACTGCAACTGATGATGGATATCTTAAGGGTGCAATATGCAATGAATCTAGGGGAAAACAACTGCTTAAATAACTTACACTCAGATGTCTGATAAATCCTTCATTTCCATTTTCTGATTTTTTCTTTGTTCTATGGTAACTTCTGCACCTCAATTCTCTCGTTCTTAAAATTGGTACATAATATCTTTCTAAGGCTGTTAAGAGTGGGGACCAAAGAAGAAAAAAGAGGAAGTTATATTATTTTATCTCCTCTTGTTTAACAGGGAAGTAAAAATGAGAATGAAAAACAGTTCAGACCGTAAATTTCTCTCCCTTCCATATTTATCTTCTCTTGCTTTCTATTAAGAGCAAGAGCCATGAATATAATTTTCCCACTCTTCACTTATTTTTTCCTCCTTTCGTTTTCTTTCACTCTGAACCAATCATTCTGTAAACTTTTGATTAACATGAAAATGTGCTTTCTGAAGCTCACGAGATCAGGATTACTAGACAAGAAATGGAAATAATTGTTGATTGGTTTGCCCACCTTTATTCTCTTCTTTCCTTGGTTCTGTTTGTGATGATAAAATTGGCATCACATACTATGAGATATACTGTTATGCTTGTCAAATTATGAGAATTTAGAGTTAACTAATGCCGATGCAAACTTTGTTTAAATTTATGGCCCTGTTTGGCCCCCATTTTTTGGGGTTGAAAAATTTTAGAATAGTGATTGATGGGAAAATGTGTGGTGGAAAAGTTATGTGATTAGAAGAGATATTTTGACCCTGTTTGGCCCCCATTTTTTGGGGTTGAAAATTTGTAGAATAGTGATTGATGGGAAAATATGTGGTGGAAAAGTTTTAGATTTGTGTGTAATATTATTTTATTTGAGAATATGTGGTTGAGATGATGAGAGAAAAAATTAATGTAATGGAATGAGAAAAAATGTGGCTCAAACGGGGGTTATATCCACATATATCATCAGTTCTTTATTGGCTTCTTACCTACATCTGCCACTTGCCATCTAGTGTTGACAATTAAGGATGTTATTTTTAATAGTCTTTTTGTTAAGGTATGCACTAGAGTCTCACTAATTTTTGTGTACGATTCCTTTCAACTCAAAAGATTTAGTTCTGTGACTGAGCGCTTCTTCATGGAACTCAACACTCGTCGAATTGACACCAATGTTGCTCGAAGTGAAACACTTAGTATTATCAATGGGCTGCGCTACCTTAAGCTTGGGGTATGTGTGATTAAAATATATTGCTAATTTTATGTGGAAGCATTTATATAATAATAAGTTGATTATCAGGTCAAAACAGAGGGCGGTCTAAATGCATCAGCTTCCTTTGTTGCTAAAGCCAACCCTCTAAATCGCGCTCCTCATAAACGGAAAAGTGAACTTCATCATGCTCTATGCAATATGCTTTCAAACATTCTAGCTCCACTTGCTGATGGTGGAAAAGGTCAGTGGCCTCCTACAGGCGTTGAACCTGCACTCACCTTTTGGTATGAAGCCGTTGCACGAATAAGGGGGCAGCTCATACAGTGGATGGATAAACAAAGTAAACATATAGCTGTAAGTATAAGGGTAAAGGGATACAGGGAAATAAATTCTTTTTCTTCGCCTTTTCTATTTTAATTTTTCTGAAATTTACGTAATGTTCACCTTACTAGCTGGGAACAGCAGGATCTCTCCACAAATTTTAGGATCTACAACTTTATCTAATATACTGCACTCCGGACCTGCAAAAAGTGATGGAAAATAATAATTGCCAGTTCATGATGCAGTCTCTAAAAGTGATGTACAATCCTCCATTGCTTGCTTCCTTTAGAAATAACTGTACCTTGTTCTGGTAGAACAAATGTTTTCTGGAATCATTTTTTCTCAGAACAGTTCCATCCATTGCTTTCCGATGTAGCTTTCTATTGTGTAGTCTAAACAATCTCAGTCTCAATCAAAGTTATTTTCTTGGGAGGATGCTGTTATATACTTCTGTGTTTCCTGATAAAATTATGTGCCACTATCAATCGTATTCAGGATTTAGAACATTCTGAGTCCTGATAGTAAATCTTATTTAGACCCTGTTTGTTTCGGATTAAAATCAGATTTTAATCTAAATCAAAGTCAAACAATCAATATTAACCACATCTTTCATGGTCCCACAGCTTTTCAACCACACATTTCAAAAACTTATATCACAATTTACTAAAAATCTAATTTTAATCCCCACCAAATACCCACTTAGTTCCTGTTGTATCGTGGTTCATTTAAGATAAATAAATGCTCTGGTTCTTCCATGATACATCCTGGATGAGTGCAGGCGTAAGCAAACCTTTAATCAAGTTGAATTGGAAACGAAGTTTTCTTCCCAAAGAACTCCTCCATATGTATTACCATTTCTCCAGATCAAAATTATTATTCTTATTGTTTAAAATAAGCTACATATTATGTATGTTTGACTACTGAAAGGAAATAAACGGTGAACTTTATTCTATTATTTTGTTAGTCAAGCCTCTAATCAAACTGTCTCTTAGTCTCGCTACTTGAAGATTTCATAAGAATTCTTGTGTTAAGTTTTGGTTTCCTCATTATCAAGTAGTAATTATTTTAAAATGATCAATTAATCTTATATTTTATCTGGTTATATTTAGTAATTCCAACATATATTTGATAATGACAAATCAAATGTATTTGTATTAAGTCCTAGTTTTATGCATGATAACGACCGAGTAATAGTTGATGCATTTCTTGCTTGCATATGGCCATTGAGGACTTCTTGTCCTTTATTTTGCTCCTATAGTTTGTCTCTTAATAAAGTTCTCTTTTGCTCTCAAAGAATGTCACATCTTTTCTGTTGAAATGACTCTGATGATTACTAAAGCTTTTGCTCATTACCTTAACTATAATGTACATATGCTAAACTAATCATTCTGTAATTAGCCATTATAACCCCTTGATTATAGAGACTCGTGAACGAAAAATATTGTATTAATAAATTTGAAATGAACAAATGATTTCTATCTTCACTTATCAGGCTTTGTTAGTATTGTCCTTGATGATGTTTGGGATTCAACACACTTCTTTTTGTATGCGGGAATCAACGCTGCATATTATATACTTATCTTGTATAATCTGACTCGTGTAAACAATTCTTTGCATGCCAGGTTGGTTACCCTTTGGTGACTCTTCTGTTATGTCTTGGTGATCCTAATTTTTTCCTCTGTAATTTTGGCCCTCACATGGAACAATTATACAAGCATCTTAGGGTAAGCTATATTTTTCATTTCCGTAAATTTTTGTGAAATGAAATTATACATGCTAGCCCCCTTTCTTTCAAAACTTTAGCATTTTGAATTGTTTGGGGTTTGTTAATTTGTCTTTAGTGCATTTGATTGAAGATTCTCTGAAAGGATTTGCCTTGGATTTCTGCTGCAGGATAAGAACCATCGCTTCATGGCCTTAGATTGTCTACATCGCGTTCTGAGGTTTTACTTAAGTGTTCACGGTGATTCACAACCTCCAAATCGTGTATGGGATTACCTGGATAGTGTCACTTCACAACTTTTGACGATCCTAAGGAAAGGAATGCTCACTCAGGATGTCCAACACGACAAACTTGTGGAGTTCTGTGTGACTATTTCAGAACATAACCTTGATTTTGCCATGAATCACATGATATTGGAATTATTGAAGCAAGATAGTCCAAGTGAAGCGAAGGTTATTGGTCTTCGTGCTTTGCTTGCCATTGTTATGTCTCCTACAAGCCAGCATGTTGGCTTGGAAATTCTGCATGGTAACTTTTACTTATCTTGTCACGCAACACTCTTTTTATGTCTGATCGTCGTAATTGAGGTTTGTGTTGCATTGGCAGTTCATAATGTCGGTCACTACATTCCAAAAGTTAAGGCTGCAATTGAAGGCATTCTGAGGTCGTGCCATAGAACTTACAGTCAGGCCCTTCTCACATCTTCAAGGACCACTATAGGTAACTTCGGGTTTCTTGTAGTATTTATTTTCTATGTAAGACCATTAGTTTGGCATACCCGTTACTGATTGCACATCATATAATAATCACAAGTCAGAATAATGCAATCTATTATTTCTTGTGGATTTTTGTGAAGTTTCATTTTTCTAAACTTACAACCCCAGAGCTCGTTTACATAGGTAAAGTCAACATTTTGCTAGGACAATCAGAATCTTATAAATTTCTGGAAATGCAAACAAGCACACAACTTAATTTGTGTATAACTGTTTCCACAACAGTAGAATCAAGAGAAAACCCTTAGTTTAGTTGTATTGATTTTACATGAGCAAATTAACAGTAACTTCTAGCCTCCCTTTGTCCGACTATTTTGATCTGTTTTCTATTTCCATGCTGGAACTGCATCTCTGAACTAAAGTAGGTTTCTGTGTTTACCCAAGTGAAAGTTAAACTGTCATCTTCTGGTGTCTTTTGCGGCAATGCAAACTTTAGGTAATTTTTCTAGGATTCGAGTCATTTAAGCAAAAGAAAATTGATATATCATATGGTTCTGTGGCCAAGGGTCTATAGTTGGACCACTTTTGTAGAAGCACCATGAATAGGATGAAGTTTTTGTATCTTCTTAGTTTGTGTCATTCCTGGTCACATCGGCAGAGTTTTTCTTTGCCTCATGAGTTGAGTTTAGCATTTTTGCTTCTCATTAAGTGCTTAAAATGGCAACCTTAAAACTTTATACTGCACTTCTTTTATTCTGAAGCAAAATTAAGAAAAGCAATAGATTAGTGCTTAGCATATGCAAAGAAATTGCACATGCTTGTTGATCAGTTATTGGCGTGCAGAATATCTGCTGACTTTTCATCCTACCTCTTGTCCTGTCTTCAACTAAGCTTGTCATTTAACAAGTTGTGTGCATATTTTCTTTATACACTTCTTGGATTTCTCCTATAAATTGTGTTTCTGCTAAAGTGGGATATACAACTGAAGAATACTTCTCCAGATGCTGTTACAAAGGAAAAGTCTCAAGGATATCTTTTCCGGTCAGTGTTGAAGTGCATACCGTATCTGATTGAAGAAGTTGGCCGAAGTGATAAAATTACGGAAATCGTACCCCGACATGGCATCAGTATTGATCCTGGTGTTCGTGAGGAAGCTGTGCAGGTTCTGAAACGGATTGTAAGATACCTACCCAATCGCCGCTTTGCAGTTATGAGAGGGATGGCAAACTTTATCGTACATCTTCCTGATGAGTTCCCCCTTCTCATTAAAACATCATTAAAACGCCTTCTGGAACTCATGCACTTTTGGAGAGAATGTCTGTCCGATGGTAAGGTAGAAATTGATGTTTCCGATACAAAGCGCGTACAGAGAAATGAAGCCTTCAGAAAGTCTTCCTTTCATCAGCCTCAGGAAGCAATAGAATTTCGTGCTTCAGAGATAGATTCTGTTGGTCTTATATTCCTTAGTTCTGTTGATAGTCAAATCAGGCGTACTGCCTTGGAGTTACTGCTTTGTGTACGTGCCTTACGAAATGATATACGAGAACGTTCAATGAATGAACGGCCGGAGCATATCTTCAAAAATGAGGCTGAACCAATATTCATAATTGATGTTCTAGAAGAGAATGGGGTGGGTAACACTTTCTGACTCGTCTAAGTTTAATGAAATTCTGCTTCATTTATACATCTGCTTAAAAACTCTGTGTCGGAGGTTTAATTTACATGACTGTGTTTCACAGGATGATATTGTTCAGAGCTGTTATTGGGATTCTGGATGTCCTTTTGATCTGAGACGAGAATCTGATGCTGTACCTCCTGATGTCAGTCTCCAGTCTATACTTTTCGAGAGCCCAGATAAGAACAGGTTGGCTCGATGTCTAAGTGAGATTGTCAAATATGCCACCGAGCTCTGTCCTACCTCTGTTCAGGAAGCAAAGTAAGTAATATCTCATAGTCGGTTCTGGAATATGCACACACATTCTTGAACCTCGTTATTTTGTAATTATAAATTCAAATTGACATCTTACTCACCAAAGCCAAAATCTATGATTATGTTTTAACTATTTCACTTCAAATTGTATTCAATGATAACATACCCATAAGCAAAATGACCTCAATTTATTTGCCAATAACATGCTGTCCTCAGTCATGATTCTCATTTCGAATTTGGATTTACAAAGTTTACTAATTTGTATTAGAATATGATGTTGAACCACTTGAAATAAAAGCTTAAGCTCTTAGAGATGGCCATATGTATATCATTGAAATATTTTCTTTAGCTTGACCCCTCACGTGCAGGCGGGGATCATTTTTCATATCACAGCCTGACACATGCACAATTTCATTACATGAGTGCGGCGAGACTTGATCCTAGGACCTTTCGCTCCTCTCATACCATGTTGAACTTGAGTGTTAAGAGAGGGCCACATAAGATAAAAGTGATTCCAGTCGATTTTCAATGTTTACATGCAGGTTAGAGGTTATTCAACGACTTGCTCATATAACACCAGCTGAGTTGGGGGGAAAGGCTCATCAGTCACAGGATACAGACAATAAGCTGGAGCAATGGCTCATGTATGCAATGTTTGCATGCTCATGCCCACTATCCGGCCGAGAAGGTGGAGGTTCAGCTGCTACAAAAGAACTATTCCATCTGATTTTTCCTTCCCTCAAGTCTGGTTCCGAAGCACATGTAGTAAGTAATTGCTGCCTCTCAACAATTCTTAAATGTCACTCTAGATCTATTTTTTAATTGCATATTATTGCCAGTTTTTGCAAATCTGCAAACTAAAATTTGGTATCTCGGAAGAGAGGGCATTATATCATATTACATCATATATAATATTTGATTTATAAATATATAAAATCATGAGCGTTGCTGGTCGTTCACACAAATTTTATCAATTTTCTATAAGAAGAAAAGCTGCATTACCTAAAAAGGATTACGTGTACCGCTAAAATTCCGGAATTGCTGGAGGATGTCTTGTAATCGATAGTTGCCTATGTGCCTGAATTAACATTAACGGTGCTGATTTGTAAAAGAAGCACAAGAGATTGGACATCATGGTCAGAACTGACAACCACAACAAAAAATTTAGCGAGTAAGTGCTTGTTTGGATTTATAAGTACATTATTATTTAAAGGTCAAAGTCAAACCTTAATTTTAAACACACATTCCGTAGGACTCACAACTACTACCCATTTATTCACCACTCATTTCTATCACATTATAATTTCAGTAACTTATAAGTAAATGGAGACAAACACTAAATATGGGGCTGGTTGAAGGAATCCTTTTTTGCCACTCTGTCAGTCCTTCACTGCATCTACTTGATATCCAATGCAATCACATCCTGCACACCCACATCATGCCATATTAATTTTAGTCTAACTTTTCCTCTTGTATTTGGTTCTATTAGTAGCAGCACGTTCGTGAGCTACAGCTTCTTCAAGTCTACATAAGACATGCCATAACCCCTTATAAATACTCCTTACCTGAGTTTATGCTCAGCCACCTCTACTTAGTTTTTCTTTTCATTTGGATCTTGACTCATGAGTGTAGAATTGGCTGGATATTTTCCTTAGTCACTATATATATTTGAACATAAATTGATGGCTTCCTAGACAACCTTTTTTTTCTTTTTTCTTTTAATGTTATTGAGCTGGTGTAGCAGCCTAGGACATGCTGAAACTTCTTACCTAGCTGTGGCAAATGGGTCCCATGGCTCTATCAATATCACCAACAGTTCCTCAATCAAGAATCTAGAGTGTTCATCGTCTCAAAAAAAAAAAAAA